GTTTTAGTCGCATAACATCGGTTAATGGAAATGTGTCATTTCGCAATAGTTATTTTTTTATCGACATTTGTAAAATATCGCAAAAGTTTTGAGCAAATCTGTAATGGAAATGCAGCTATAGTGAAATACTTTGTTTTTTTTTGCCAAGAACATACACGAGTTCCATTCGGTTCAGTGGCATTGTTTACGTTCAGTACCGCCAATATGGCCGATTTCCGGATTAATGACGTGTCGTGAAAACACCCTATAGACGTTTCAACCTTAAACACAAACTACTTCGACAATAATAGGTCAATATAATAGACTGCACTTACAGCATTGTGCGTTTCCAAGCAACACACACAACAGTGATGTGGCTGAATGGATCATATGTTTTTTCTCTGTTGAGTGAATGACTTGCTCAAAAATTCTTGTTTCGTTGCTGAATGAATCCTGTTTTCAAACAAATATTTTGATTGAATGATTCAGTGACTCATTCATAAAGATAGCTATCAGGAACAGCATACTACTATAATAATCTTTTTATTATTATTATTATTATTATTATTATTATTTCTGCAATACATATAATATATACTACAGAAATAGTAAGTGGAGTATACTAGTATGCTCTTCCGAACAGTGCGAGTTTAGTTCCTGCAAATCAGATTTTTTGAACAAATAGGTTGAGTCAACAATTCAGTGACTGGCTCATAAAAGAATAAAGTGCTTTGAACTAACCAGTTAAGTGAATGATTAAGTAACTCATTCATAAGGGCACTTATTTTGTACCTGAATGAATCAGTGTATTGAAGGAATTGGTTGATTAAATGAGTCCGCATCTCACTCATAATGAATCATTTGTCACCAACTACTAGCGTAATGTTGTAACCTACAGAAAAAAGTCTTTGAAAAATCCCCACCACTAATATCCAGTAATGTCTTGGTATAACAACATATGCTAAATTAATACATATAAGCTCAACACTAAAATCGAATTAGTTGCTAGAAATATTGTTCTTTAAGCATGAACATATAAGTATGTAAGAATGTAAAGCATATTGACAGTGGCATGCAATATTTGATTCTGGGCTCTAAAATTATTTAGTCTAACCCACATCTGTCGTTGTCATCACAGCAACAGCGAAGACATACATATTTTAACACATTCAAAATATTATGCTTGGTCTGAACGAAAAAATGAAAATTAGTTTTCATTTGATTCTTTTTTAAATGAGTGAAATCTCTCTGTACATTCAGCACCTCAGTAACTGTACATAAGCTTTGTGATCTGGTACAAAACAACATACATCCACTAAGATTATTGCACTTTTACTTAGAAACCAGAATGGCACACAAACACCTCAGCGTCACGTCTCTGAATCCAGCTTGGCAAGGTCTCTCCCTTTCTCACACACAGACATCCCCTCAGCACCATTACAAGTCCTCTAAATGCAGCATGGCAGGGACTCCACACAGACAGAGCGCATGAAGCCAGCGGACCTGTCGCTCTCTCCTCCTCCGCTAAGCCAAGACCCCCCTGCTGTAAGGCGGATTGAGGGTGTCTAGCAGGGTAAAGAGGACACCTTCTTCTCTCAAACCGCCCCAGGTCTGACCCAGACATTCTTGCTTGGCTCACGGTGAGATGGAGCCCCACACTGGGCCTTTTTCTTGAGTTGTTGTGGTGTCTAATCTGAAAGCCTGCTTAACTGTTCTCAACACTAAATGTACAGCAGGGGTGGGTGGGTGTTACCTGCCTCTATGTACTCGTTTCACTAGTTTATTGACCTTTCAGTGTGTCGGTGGATTGTGGAGCTAGATAGATAGCTAGATAGATAGATAGATAGATAGATAGATAGATAGATTACCCACCTCTAGTGCTAAAGTCAATTTAGTTTGCTGTTGAAAATAAGATAGATAGATAGATAGATAGATAGATAGAAAACATAGGTAGACAGGCGGATAGACAAAGATGGATGGATATATAGATAGATAGGAAGAAACGTGTGAAGTTCTGTTATCTGAAAAGCTCTGATTCTAACACACACCTTCATTTCCTTACCATTGCAAAACAGAACAAGAGGAGAAGAGAGCAAATGCAGATGAAAATGTTACTGGAAAGGGCAGCTACACTGAAAAACCGTCTCCTCTGAGAATTGTCCTCGGCAGACATGAAAAAAATTGCATTTTGTACCACATAAAAGCCTCATCTCCATAGAAGGAAGAGAGAAGGAGAGAGATGCTGCTTTTAAGGCAGCCTGTCCAAAAAGACCAGGACCTCGCACAGTCTCATTACCTGGAGAAAAACTGTGCCATTAAATTGAAATTTAATATTCAAAATTGTGTTTTAATGTAGCTATTCGCCTCCATCCGTCCAAATGTGGCTTCTGTCGCCGGCATGTCTTAAGGCAATTTAATTGGACTAATAGAGACAGCTGTTAATAGCAGGGCTTCTATTGTGTGTCTTTGGTGGTTTTTCATCAAGGCCGAACCCTCAGGACACACTGATAGAGTTTGAAGTAGATTCAGTTGGAATCCAGAAGAGAACTTTCGGCTTCTGCAAGCAACACGGAGAGAGATTTGACACAACACACAAGCAAGCACATGTGCCGTATGGCTTCTCTCAGAAAGTCCCCCCAAATTCGCTGAAGTAATTCAATTGCGAGTTTCAGCTTGCCAGTAACACCATATGCATCTTCCATGTAGTCAAGAAGAGGCATAAGAGGAACGATGCAAAAATATGGATATATACTCCCATTTCTATCCCCATTTATAACACCTCGTGAGCAGGACATATGTGCAACACTTCTCAGAGAACGGAAAAACCTCATCACCAATGTCAAGAGGAGAGGTCACGTCCAAGGTCAAGGATTCGGCAGCCCATATTGAGCCCGAACAGGAAGATTTACAGCTGAAGCACTATCAAACACTCCTCTATCTGCACATAATCAAAGGGCATTAGAGACAGAGAAGCTTCAAACAGCCTGCATTACAGAGGCAGCCCTGTAATGATATGACAATGGAGAAGCATCTCTAGAATATTAAGGTGCCGTGCGCCGGAATTCACAATGAATTCAGACACCGGCTCCAATCCCCATGTTGGCCGATGATGAGTCAGGCCCATGCGAGCAGCCTCCAATATGAGCCAACTTGCATCAGACAAAAGGCAGCAGATCTGGAATAAGATTTATTATTTGCCATATCAAAGAGCATTACAGAGCGTGTCTGAGACCTGATCAGTGGATGGGGGGTGAGTGCTACCTAAATATCTTTATTTTTGTTTCAAAGAATTGCACTACATAATATATTATTTAAATATTAAATTATAATTATATAAATTTTAATTTTTTTAATTAAATGTTTATTATTATTATTATTATTATTATTATTATTATTATTTTTCCTATAAAAGGAAGGTTTGATATTGGTCTATAGTTACTCAATATGGTGTTATCAAGATTGCTCTTTTTCAGAAGGGGTTTAACAACTGCAGTTTTCAGGGAGTTTGGAAAAGTTATTAATAAAAGTTATTTAATAACACTAATGTTATTAAAGTAAAATAATTTAAAAAAAAACATTCTGTGTGCGGAAAACACTCACCAAGTTGCAAATATTCTGAGTGACAGCCACACAAATGTATATGACATTATTTAGTTTACAGTGTACAGTACATCCAGTATTCAATATTTACCATCAGGACCTTCTATCAATGACCATTTGTAAGATCGTGTGTGGGTGTGTGTGTGTGCGTGTGAACAGTCTGGCTACCTACTGATCTATAAACAGTTTCTTTAACGTTAAGATTTCCAACCCCGCTCGAGCTCTCAAAGTACAAGAGTCTTTTATAAACTCCCGTCTGCGCTTCGAAACGCGTCCACATCACTCACATAAAGGACCGCTTTGAAAGCCTCGCCCACAATTTGAATTCCGAGAAAACGATTGGCTGCGTTACCCCCCTCCTCCTCCATCCATTGGTGGGCGACGGATCAGTAACAATGTTTAATGCACTATGAGACAGAGTGAGACAGTCAGAGTCAGAAACGCGCAGAGGCAGAAGGGACACCGGCACACCATAGTGCATCTATTCTTTATTCCCGTACCGTTATTGACAGCTGGTTTTAGTGACAGTCGGACTGGACTGAACACTTTCGGTTGATATCCATATTTAAACTTTGGACTCTCTTGTTTTTCCCTTTTCGGTTTTTGTATTAGGGACTGGACGTATAGCCTCCTGTGGGGCCAGGACGCATTTATCACGGGGATGTCTCACCCCGCATCAATGAAGTACAAGAGGCTGTTCGCGCTGGTGATATCAACGATTGTGGATGTATATTTTACGCTTGGGTCAACATATCTGTCCTGAAGCGCCTCCAGTCTGAGTCCATGAGCGGTGGAGAGTCACTGCATCCTAATCAGCCTCATTGACATTACAAGCGCACTTTTGCGGAGCACTTTATTTTTTTCATACAGTCTAGTTGGAGTTTTTTTTCCCTCCACTCATTGGGAAGGTGCATGAAGGATGTAACTCGTCTTTGGTAATGGTTGTGTTTAGACTGGATATAAGATTACAGGTAAGTCTGTGTGATGTTTCTCATCATCATTCTGTTCCAAAGTGTCATCCTGAAAAGAAAAAAAAAAACATGAAATGACATGTCATATATGCTCCTGGAGCTGCTGGATGCGCACAGTGCCAGAGAGGATGCAACAGCTTCTTCTTGTATTTATTCAAGAAGCGCAGTATAAATAACCATCCAGGATTGTGTTTCATTTGCTCTGCTTTTTGCGACTATGTAAGAATTGTATTTAACAGCCGGATTATGCCGGTTAAGAGGCTTATTTCAACGCATTTGCATTCAGGGGGTTGCCTTAAGACAGCAAGGTATTGATATGGCATCAGTTAAGCAGCTGTTTGAGGACATAGAACATAGAAAGAGATCTATCCGTATTAATTTGCTCACCACCTTTATCCATAATTACTCGTATGATGCGCGTAACACTCTTCGTGCCACATGGCGCATCCTCGACGCATTGCTTAGCCTACATGTTGAGAGCAGAATAACACAAACATCCACCTGTGTTCAGCGGTAAAGCGCTCCGACGCATCTCAAGGTTGGATTGACATGCCATTCACGTCGTTCCCCAGGGAATGAGGAATTACGCATTAGAATTACACGGTCACACTACAGAGGAAAAAAGCGCATATGTTGAGACACAAGGTGCTTGTTTAAATCTTTATAATATAATTTAAATGATCAAGTGCAATATTACATGCAGTAATCTGACACAGATTTTTTTTCTTTTATTTTTATTACAGGCGAAAAGGCTGGGAAAGGCTATTTCTTTGTGGAAACCGGATTGTGATTTTGCCTCCAATGCGCCTGGGCATTCAGCAGAATATAAATTAGCTGTACAGCCTCACCATTTGTTGTAAAAACTCAGGATAAAGGGAGCCCTGCTACGGAGGAAAGAAAAGAGCATTCAAAGGAAAAGCCCACATAATGACTTTATACATTTTTTATCATGAATCGGCATGTGTGCTCAGTAATTGAAGGTAGAAATTGTGAAATTGCCGGGAAGATCAACAGGTCGGAGGCATAAAACGCATCAGAAACCTAAGACACTCTCACTGAAAGGGATGCATCTTTCTGTTTTCCTTTTCCTACTTTTATGGGCGCAAGCCCTGACATTGAAAAACTTGAACTACTCAATACCTGAGGAGAAAATTCAAGGTGTCATTGGAAACATTGCCAAGGATGCAGAGCTGGAACTGGGAGAGCAGGGGAAAAAATCCAACTTCAGGGTGTTGGAGAACTCCGCTCCACACCTTATCGATGTGGATCCCGAAAGCGGGCTATTATACACTAAACAGCGGATCGACAGGGATACACTGTGCAGACAAAACTCCAAGTGCCAGCTCTCCATGGAAGTGTTTGCCAACGACAAAGAGATCTGCATGATTAAAGTTGAGATACAGGACATAAATGACAACGCACCAAGCTTTCCTTCTGAACAGATCGATATCGACATATCTGAGAACGCAGCCCCAGGCACACGTTTCCCCTTGGCTGCTGCCTATGACCCTGACACTAAGGAGAACGGCCTGAAAACATATCAGATCACGCGGGATGATTATAGCATATTCTCTTTGGATGTTAAATCCAGAGGGGATGGAACCAAATTCCCTGAATTGGTCGTTCAGAGGTCCTTAGATCGTGAG